GATACTTTATTTTCAACTTTTTGATTATTTCCTTAATTTTTATTGAAAATAAATGCCTTTACGATGTGATACGAGATTTGAAAAGGGAGAAAAAAAAAAGTTCGGCAAAAGGCGGAATCGAACCCAGGTCGATCGCGTCAAAAAGCCAACAACACGCGTTTATCCATCTGCACCACTAGAGCCGACGTTTCACTGTCACTTTTAATTAAATGTAAATAGACACCCCGTATTTTTTATTCCAGAGTAAGCTTTCAGAATTGTTATTTTGTTTTTTAGACTTGCATTTGCATTTGTAATTTGTTATTTTGTTTTCAGAATTGTGATCTGCTTTGCACTTCTCGGCCACCGTACAATCGGCCCCTATTAAACAATCAAGAAAGTAAGACATCTTTTTCTTATAGTTCAGAAGCCTACTCTTCATTTTGGCAGAATTTATCATTATAATCAACTTAATTATTTCCTGGATTTTGTATCACCATAGTCCCTAAATGTATGTAGCTAAATGTAGGAAATGGGATTCAACCCCCCCCCCCACACTTCTCAAACCAAAGTTATACTTGGTCAAAGTATACATCATATTTTATACATCATATATATTTTTCCCATCACAAATACGACCTGAGTAGCAGAGGGAGCTCCCGAACACAAACCATTATTATATATGACCAGTGTTGGCCAGTAACTAGTTACTAGTAACTTAGTTACTGTAATAATATTACTTTTTGCAGTAACTAGTAGTGTACTTAATTTCTGAAAAAGATTTCAGTAACAATATTATAGTTACCATCCATAAAACAGCTTAGTTACTTAGTTACTTTTGATGCCTTAACCCCACTGATTTAAAATCCAACAATCAAATAATTCCTAGATTTATTTTCATAATTTTCACGACTCGCACATGCATGTGATGTCCCCAGTGCAGCAGAATATGGAATATGGAAAAGCTTACATTCAGCAGATAGAAATATTGCATTATATTGATTTTGTCAGGAAAAAAAGATGATCTGAACACTGTTGTGTAAATTGTGGCTTTACTTTACTCTGGCATTACATCCCACCCACATCCCTCTGATCAGCATGTGGTACATTATATTACTATAATTAAAAATCCTTTTGGAAAATTAAACAGTTTCTTACAGACTTATGTGATTTGATAACATACATAATAAAATATAATCGTTTATGGGTAACAGAGAAATTACAATTAGCTTCAAGCTACACATGACAATTAATGAGATTAATACAACACTTCTACTTGAATGTCACTATCAATCACTATTGAGTGTTTGTAATAACTTCTGACTGCGATCCGATGTGGATCTTGGTCAAATGATGAGGCAGAAATATGTTGTTAGTAACATTCTAGAAGAATTTTATCTGGAAGATACAGTTACAACTTCTGTGGGGAGTGAAGAAATAGTAATGTAACTAGTAGTGTAACTAATTACTGTTGCCAGAAAGTAATAAGTAAAGTAACAATATTACTTTTGAAAGGAGTAACTAGTAATGAGTAATATATTACATTCTTTGAGTAACTAGCCCAACACTCTATATGACATACGCGGAGTTAAAAGACTCAAGACGAGACTTATGACAGATAAAATATGTTATAAATAAATACACGATTGTGATAGTGAATGAGAAGCTGACATTTGATTTCTTCGAGCGGTCGTATTTACCATGTTTACTATGGTAATGTTAAGGCTAGCGTGCATAGTTCTTTGCATCGCTTATAAATATTTCTGCCTTGTATGGTGATCATAATCCACATCAGATCTCAAACTGAAGTTATTTTAAACACTCGCTGCTGTCTGAACGTGAGTTTTGAGCTAAAATTATTTGAAAAGTCTTTAATGCTGATGTTATAGCTGTTAACTTTATGAAATGATCCACGGCGCTGATGCTCAGTCCAGATGCGAAGAAACTCCACCTTTGTTCATAACCACTCCTCTAGCCCCAGTTGGCCCGCTTTAGCCCAAGGTTTTCGCCGGGCCAAAAAACCCTGGCCGTTGGCCCCAAGGAAGCACTGACGAGGCACGATCAAGCCCCGGAAGTGACAGTGGAAACGCGACTGGCCCTGGCACGCACTAGCACGCCCGCTTTTGGCCCAAGTGCCCACCAGTGGAAACGCGGCTAATGTGGATTATGGATTCATATTTTGGCCAAAGCAACAGTTTAAAGTTAAAATGCCTTAATGATGAGTTTGTTTATTACAAACACACAGCTTTTCACTTCACAAGATGTTTATTGATGGACTGGAGTCATCCCAGTCCATCACCCATTCCTGGAGGTACCCATTCCCTGCAGATGATCTATTAGTGAGCAAGTGATGTCAAATTTCTACAAATCTGTTTTTTTTTTTAACACATTCTGTGTGATTATAAGCTAGTCTTGTTTTTGTAAATACAACAGTAAACTATTTATGAAACTACTACAGTCAGTATCAGTTGATCATAGACATCTTGTTGCCTGAAAGGGACACAAAACACTAAAAAGGCACCAAGAAGTTACACTGGGTGTCACTGCAGTTGAAGCTTTCAGCCCCCAAAAATACACTCTGATGGGATACATGTGCAATGTCAAGGTCTCACACTGTTCCAGTGCACGCCATGTGTTTGATGTCCCACTTAGGAGGAGAAAGAAAGACCAGTTAAGGACTTTCTGTACTGACTCTGTGTGGTAAATTGCATAATATGAATAGAAATTTTCTTTTCTTTTAGATGAAACAAGCTATTGCATAACTGTTCTTCTTTTAATGGGCAGCAAGCAGCTGGAAAGCAGTTGAATTTTATTAAAGGAATGTTCCAGGTTTTATTAAAAGTATTCTTTGATAAATGGAAAAGTAAAAATAACAGCATTTATTTGAAAAATATTTTGTAAAATTATAAATGTCTTTTGATCAGTTTAATGCACCCTTGCTGAAAAAAAGTATTGATTTCATTTAAAAAATATATATATATATCTTACTGATCCAAATTTTTGAACAGTAGTGTATACATTTTTAGAAAATAAAAAACTGACAGTCTGCATATTTTTTTCCTGATTTCTTTAGATTCTGTACGAGTGTCCCAAAGCCCAGAGAGAAGTGGAACTGCACTGGCGAGTATCCGGGGGGCCACATATAGTTCGGATCCTCAGCCTCTATGAAAACATGTATCGTGGGAAAAAGTGTCTTCTCATAATTATGGAATGGTCAGTCCTGCCAGTGGTAAAACATCATTTCCCATCATGCCCAGCTGCCAGAAATAGTACAGCTCTTTAGTCAACATCCTTGACTAGTGACATTTCTTTTTTATAAAGACACAACAGGAAAAACGGTTTTTTTCCTGTATTTTTGCACCTGGTGATACAATGTGATCTTATTTCACAGTCTTGTTCTGAATGAAGGTTTCAGTTCTCTTTCTCACTAGTAGTATCTCAACGATTTTTTTTATTTTATTCTCATTTGTTTAGACTGCATTGTTATGAGTAACAGCAACCACAAGACTTTAAAAACATCATACAAATGTGCTGTTTTAAAAGTGTGTTGATGTTTTTCTTATAGGGTCATATTAAATGGCGTATACCCTTTGCTAAACAGCCATTAGACTCAGGGAACGGGACATTCTCATTCTAAAGAACATCTTATTAGACAGAAATTGGTGTAGTCCAACATGAGTCATTCATTTTCCAGAAAAGACTGCCAGCTTTCACACAGACAACCTCAAAGTTAATAGACATGGACTAAAAGCCACAAAACTTTTATTTTGATTCCATGCTGTTTAATCAAACGGTGGCTTTGAACGCTGTATTAAGTGGCTGTGGTGTGCTTTATCTGGGGTGCTTGAGCAGTCTGAGAGCGTCTCATTCCCTCTCACTGTGAGAGCAGCACTCAGAGGAGCAGAGAGGGACTTTCGTAGTCCGAGATTCACAGAGACAAATGTTCCATCTCTTAATTAGCTCATTTCCTGTTTCCCTCGTGCTTTTGGGCATTTTGGCAATAATATGATTCACATCATTTCGATAACCATAATGCCATGTTGTTGTTGTTGTTTTCACATACTAAGCTGGGAAAGGAACTCAGCTTATTGTGATTGTGTATTTGTGCATTAAGCTGTGTAATAAGAAAATGTGTGTGTGTGTGTGTCTGTGTGTGTGTATTTGTTGTGTCAGTATGGAGGGGGGAGAGCTCTTCAGCAGAATTCAGGCCAGAGGAGACCAGGCCTTCACGGAGCGAGGTGGGTTATCTGTCTTTATGTTTTGTAGCACACACACACACACACACACACACACACACACACACAGGAAATCTACCATGCAAAAGTATATTGCCAGAAACACACACACATACCCACATTTAGGCCTTCTACGGCCCCCATTTACATGGTGAAAATGAGGTTTAATAGTTAAATATTAAATATGGTTGAATATTCAGAGGAAGTTAATTTGCCATGTCATTTGCATTTAGTTGATTACTTTGTTAGTTAACAGTAAATATGATGAGAAAGATAATTTCCAATATTTTTTAAGTGGTTGGTTAGTTAGTTGTTTAGTTAACTATGAGTATGGAGAGGAAGTTAATGTCCTATGCAATTTCCCTTTAGTTGTTTCATTTGTTAGTTAACAACATAACACAGAGGATCATTTCCAATATATTTCCCATGGTAAGTTAGTTATTTAAAGGGGTCATATGACGTTGCTAAAAAAGAACATTATTTTGTGTATTTGGTGTAATGCAATGTGTTTATGCGGTTTAAGGTTCAAAAAACACCTTATTTCTTTCTGAAACGTGTCGATTTTTATAAAGCTCATCGGTCTGAAAAGCGAGGTGTACACTGATTGGCCAGCTATCCAGTGCGTTGTGATTGGCCGAATACCTCAAGCGTGTGATCCAAATGTTACGCCCCTCACCATACTGTGTTGCCGTGTCCCGGAGCGACGAGACAAAAACATTAAAACCCATTACAAACGAGGCATTTGTTGCATCCAGTGGGGACATAATTACTGATTATAATGACTTATACTGTCTTTTTACGCGTTGCGTTGCGTATTGTGCCATGTAAACATAAAACCATTTATTAGTCTTTGCAACTTTAGGGATCTTATCTATGCAAGAACAGCTTGTAACACTCCAAAGAGAAAGGAAAACTTGAAATCGCATCATATGACCCCTTTAATTTCCCATGCAATATCAAATAGTTTATTAGTTAGCAATAAATATGACAAGGCGCATAATTCTCCATATACTTTCTGTTAGTTAGTAAGTTTATTAATTAACTATAAATATGGTTATATTTATGATGAGGTTATTTCCTCATATAATTTCCATTGGTTAGTTAGTAACTGTAAATAAAGTCTTGTCAACATATTCTCCAGCGTCTCCTCGTCCCTCGTGTGTGTGCAACGTGACAGTTTGTTAGTTATGAATAGGATTATGGTTATGATTTTGATTATTATAGGGGTGTAACGGTTCACGTTTCTTACGGTTCGGTACGTATTGTGGTTTTGGACAGAAACACAAACAAAAGAAATAGAAACAAAAGCACATTTTTTACACCCCTAATTATTAGATTGCAATTAGTTGGTTGGGTAGGTGGTCACTCATTTTTTGAAGAAGTCACTGAATTGTACACTTGCCTATATTTTGAGGCAGGAACTGAATAGTAAAAAAAATGGAAGTTCGCTGTTGTCTTACACTTATAATCATGAAATGACATCAGACACAGCAGTCACACTGTATTCCCTCTGTTCTGTACCTGCAGAGGCCTCTGAGATCATGAGAGACATCGGCACAGCCATCCAGTATCTGCACAACATGAACATTGCACACAGAGATATCAAGGTAACAAATGATTGTTACTAGTACTACCATAAGAATGAGAATAACATTATATTCAAGTCAGATATTCAGGAAACTAGGATATTGCATTAAGATTCTATTTTTGTGTCATTGTTGACAATATTTTGAGCATCTCTATGCCTTCCTCAGCCGGAGAACCTGCTTTACAATTGTAAAGAAGACATTGGAGTTCTCAAACTAACAGACTTTGGCTTTGCTAAAGAGACTTCACTGCATAACCCATTACAGACGCCTTGCTACACGCCGTATTATGTAGGTCAGTAAGATGAATGTCACTCTTATCATGAGAGGAACCTCTCTTTAAACAGATAGAGACTGGGTTCTGTTTGTATATTTATTGTGAATAGAATAACACTCGGTATATTAATGCAAACTTATGTGTTTTTTTTACATGTCTCCAGCACCAGAGGTTTTAGGCCCTGAGAAATATGACAAATCATGTGATATGTGGTCTTTGGGTGTGATCATGTACATCCTGTGAGTATAACGACTCTGCTTGGTGTTACCTTAAGTGGTAAATAAAAGCTGTGGTGTACATAATTTTAAACTAGTTGAAACTGCTTTGTTCCTCTTTATGTTGCATGAAGGTTGTGTGGATTCCCACCGTTCTACTCCAACACAGGACAGGCTATTTCACCGGGAATGAAGCGGCGCATTCGCATGGGCCAGTACGAGTTTCCCAACCCGGAGTGGGCTGAAGTATCTGAGGAGGGTGAGATGCATTTTATGTCTATTCTGCACCCAGTCAAACGTCATGTTGCCTGTTTACCACCAGAGGGCAGTGTTGCTTTTGTTTTGATCGCTATGTCTCCATGACTACGTGTTATCATTTGGACCTGTTTTATGTATGCATGGTTATTCATATATAGTTTGCAATATTTCAGTGCAAAGTAAACTTTTGCATATTTATTCATGTGCAGTTATTCTCCTTTGTTTGTTTTCTCTCTCTTTGGTCTTTCTATTGCCCTTTTTCATTTATTTTATTGTATTTAATTCATTGAGCGTTAGAAACATTATATATTCATGCAATTAGAAATATATATTGAATATTGAGTAAAATAACAATGATTATTATTGTTGCAAGTAGAATGCAAATAGGAAAACTTTAGTTTAGTTTTAGCAGATTAATATGAAAATTAAGCAGAATGATTAGACATGCACAATTAAATTAAATTAAAATAGGCATA